CAAATGCTTAAAGTATTATTTCAAGTATACCCAATGACAATGTAAAATTATTTCTGTGGAAAAAATATATTGTGAACTCTAATCTGACTTTAAGAACACATTTTCTTATTAGCCTTCTGAAGATCCACATAGAGAGGGTGGGCCCAATGAAACAGGCAACAAAAATTACTATTTACTTTAAAACAGTTGTATGTCTGCATTTTAATTAATGGTATGCTTTAGGTCATTCTTTCTAAGGACTGTAGAGTATTTGAACTGGGAACAAAGAATAGTAACTATCTCATAATTCAGGAGGGTAGAAATGATAGTGGCTATTTTCATTCAATATGCCCAATTTGTAGATTCTGTTTAAGAGTATAGCATAATTTTTAACATAACAAGTTAAATTACAATATGTTCTCAATTTCAAATACATATGATATATTAAGTTCATTTAATATAAACGTGGTATCATAATCCACTCTAATTTAGATGGCATCCCACATTTTTTCCCCTGTTAGGAAAAAAGTACAATCCTAACTTTCTTGGGACAAAAATTTCAATAAAGACAGAAATGGCAACAGCCCACTAGATAGACATATTGGCAGAGTTAAAACTAAAATAATGCATTCCTATAATGCTCAACTTAAAATGAGACAAAGCCATAGAATACACTAAGCATAATGTTTCTAAGAGGGTTCATCATGAGATTTCCACTACCAAAATATTAGCAAGAATGTATGTTCCCAATGAATTAAAGTATACCTGTAGGAAAGCCAGAAGATGTACACTTATGATATCACAGTATCAGTATTATATACCATTGTTCAAAATAGAACATCAGTTGATAGAATATTAAAGTCCTTTTGTGCTATGCATATATACCACTCTTCCAAACTCTTCTCCTACTTAAGCATAGTCATCTTCTGAGAAGATAAGTTATTTAATGTTATACTGGCTCACATAAAATATTTAAAATGGTTATCCATCAATGATGAAATTAGTAGTGAATTTTTACTGCATGGACATCAGAAAAACTTATTTTGTTCAACTTTGCCATTCACTTTTTTGGAAGTGTTGCTTGAACCAACTCAACAAAGAAGTGATATTTTCAAGAGAAAGCACTTCATATTAATAACTGCAGATAATGTAGGTATAATATTTAACATTATTAACTACTAATTATTAACTCATTTTATTTACAAAGCAAAATAAACAGCATGATATGTGATTATGGTATTTTGTAGAGATCACCGAGTACTTAACACATTCCCTTTTAAAGACAAGGAAAAAAAATATTTACCCTCATTTCTGGTTCTATT